TGTTTATCGAAACTAACAAAACAATATAAAAAATAAATATTTAAAAAATAATAATTATATTAAATGTTAAAAAATAATTTATTTAACAAGTAAATTATTGCCATTTATTTGAATTAAAGATTTAATCAAAATATTAATTATTATATAATTTTATATAATTATCTTATATAAAAAATTTTAATTATATAACATTTTTATATAACATAAAAATGTTTTCTGTAAACATGAATTTAATCTATAAAAATAAAATAAAATAATGTACCTGATCAAGAATTTTTATTAACTATAGTTATAATATATCTTACTTATGATCTTACTAAAAAATCTTAATTGACATTTTATGGTTAAGTTAATTACTAATTTTCTTTATATTTAAATACTTTTGTTTTTAATTAATAACTACGAAATCAAACAATGAATGACTTTTCATAATATTATATTAGTATAGTTATTAAATACTGTATTGGCTGTTGAGGTCATACAACTGGCTGTACGTGTGGTTACATTTAAAACAATTTCAGATTACATGCGATTAATTGCTTATTTATATGAATAATAATAACAATAATACAAGTTTTGAAAGTCTTAAGCCTCTATTGAATAGAGTCTATTCAGTCAAGCGGTGGGTCCTTAACGGCGCGAAATGTGTTTACAATTAGAGCTTTAAATATGAGAAATGTTTTTGTGGTTTATTCTGACAAATGCAAAGTGTAGGCGCACTAACAAAAAGGGTTTTGACTTTTGTGGGTCAATATGTATACAAATTCAGTTTTTATTTATTGTTATCTTAACTTTTAAAAGGCATAAGTATCTTTTATTCAAAAGTATTCAACAAAGTGTAGGCGCACTAACAAAAAGGGTTTTGACTTTTGTGGGTCAATATGTATACAAATTCAGTTTTTATTTATTGTTATCTTAACTTTTAAAAGGCATAAGTATCTTTTATTCAAAAGTATTCACTTTATCTATTTGAATACATTACTGTTACTCAATATATGCAATCATTTAATTCTATATTAAGTCAAAAACGGTTCAAATTTGTCAATACTTTCAATCGGTTTATGAAATTCTGAACGAATCGAGTCTTAAATAAGTGTTTTTTGTATTTGTTTTTCAGATATTGTTTCGAAACAAATTGTCCTAATATTACATACTATTGACAAATATGTTTCTTATATACCAAATAATATTTTCGTTTGTGTTCAAATTGCAAAGTTAAAATACTTTTTAAATTCGTTAGGAATTTTGAGTGAAAAGTAAAACAATTTTATAATACAATTTTTAATCAATTTAATTGAAAGTTAATTAATAAGTTGTGTGTAAATAATGAATGCATTGACTCGTGTCTCGTTAATAATCATCAATATATTTATCGGTCTCATTGGTCGGTCGCATAGTTTCCCGTCGGGAGCACCGGTAGAGGCGTGTGATTCCCTTCAGCCCAGACATGTAGGCACTCAACCATTGGACCCAAAGGAGGCGCCTTATTATTTGGTTCAGTCGTCCAATAGCTATGGCGATAATTATGACGGACGGGTCAAAGGGATTAAAGGTTTGTCATAATTATACCCTGATAGGGTTTTTAATTTGAATAAATTATTTTTGTTATAAAGCAAATTACACTATATAATATATAGTATATATTCATGGTTTTAAAAAATATTAATATTAAAAATTAATAAATGATCACTAATTTATTAAATTATTTAAACGACAAGTCTAGAGTCTAGACATTATAATATAAATATTATTTAGAAAATAATAAATCTAAATATAGAGGTATAGTATTGTTAGTGCATTGAGTTCTGTAATGATATGATATTGTCTATTTTCAAGTTTAATAAGTGTTTTATTTATTTATTTTATTCTTTATCTTGAATCGATTGTATATTCTGAATGTATAACTTACACTTTTATACTAGTTATACTTTTGTACTAGTCAACTTGTCAGTTGTATACTGGTCTTAATGCACAAATCAAATATCAATTATTACCATTTTTAATGAATGGTTTGGCATAAAAGTAATCATTATTTTCTTAAGTAGTATTTGTTTTAATAAAATTAAATAAATAAATGAATTTTTCGTTTCATTTAAAATTACGAGATTTCCTTATGACTTGTTTTCACAAAGTTTCGCATTAAAAATTAAAATATAATAATAAAAAGATTAAAATAATTTTGTGTCTGAAAGTTTTCTACAGGAAATTACTTATTAGAAAACATGTAAAATATTTTACGGTTTGTTAGGCAAAGAATTTAATGAAAAATTATATTTTGAGTGAGAAAACGTAATATTTGTTAATAAGTAATTAAAAAATGGTATTTAATTATTGTGTGAATTACTGTAATGATTACATAATTTGCATAGAGATCGCATTGACACACATTTATCTCAATGCGAAAGTATTTAATTATTAATATTTGCTTAATTTATTAAAACATTTCAATAGACTGACCGAAAGACACAAATAATTAAAAGTGATTTATTTTCATTTAATTCGTTTAAACAGCTCTTAATAACTGTTAAAATATGTCTTTTCAATGAGAAATGCTTATTATTATTGAAATATAAGTTATTTAATACGAAAACATATTAATTAAAATATTTCGCAATCATTCATAAACGGTATCCTAATCTGAATCCTAATCTGAATCCTAATCTGAATCCATTGAATGGCAAATGTAGTTGAATTGGGCGGAGAGCTCTTCAAGGGGTTTATGATCGCAGCCGTCGATCCCTTAACCGGAAAGCGAATCGGAAATTGGATTAAATTTAAAGGTTTTCAATTGATTTCAATTAAATGCCATATAAATACTAATATTTTGATTATCTTTTATTTTGAATATATTAATTATCTGATAGGAACCGATAGTCTTCCCTGTTCTGCAATAACTCACACCAACTCAAGACCTAAACGCATGGCATCCCTGATATGGGTACCCGAGCCCGGCACTAGAGGTTACGTCTCATTTGAGTGAGTTATTAATCTATTGGTTATGAAAATAATATACTTTATAATAAAATGAATCAATTGTTTCATTCAGAGCTACTGTCGTCCGTTCATTCAGTGACTACTATTCGGGTTTGATATCAGTATTACCTCATCAGCAAAGTATTAGAGAGAAAAATGCCAATAATTTGGCCAAAAGTAGTTAAATTTTAATATTAGTTTCTCAAATATAATGTAGTAATATATGACATTTGAAATTAATTTTGAATATTTCATATAAGAAATTATAATGACATATAACACAAAGTACTGTTCCATATATGCTCTTATATTCCTAAATCTGGTCACCAACTGTATAAATATTTATATTTTGATCATTATTATCAATATAAAATGTTTATAAAATGAGTATAATAACTATCATTAAAGTATATAACATTGTAACACCTTTATTAATATAAGCACAGGTAGATTTCATATGACATTCATAGTGAAAAAATGTGTAGTAAAGTGATTTGGGCCAAAGGGTGCAATATTTGTATCTGGGACTTTTACTATTACTAATTTATTATGCCTTAACATACAATAATTTTAACATTGTTTGATTTTATATATTAAATCTTTATATAATATAATAAATCAATAATTGATGTTACACATAATTGAATAATTATATTCATTAGTTATTAACTACCGCTATATTTGAATATCCTTGAATTTATTATTGAAAGTTTAATTTTTAAATATCTTAACATAATGTATGAAAACTTTTCCTGTAAAAACCTATCATCAATATTATTAATTAGTTTTACTATAAAAAATCTTCATTTCTAATATTTTATTCTGGACATTTAAATTATTTGACATTTGCCCTTATGATCCAAAAATTGTTGTGATTTATTTATAATCTGTGCTACAATACGGGAATATCATATGAATTCTACTTGTATGGCATAAACAATTCTTATTGCAATTATAAATTCTCAAGTATTTACTTTAAAAGTAATTATTTAAAAGTATATAATTTGTTACATCAAGAAATAAGTTTTAATACTGGAATTCAATGTTTTAATGTTAATATAATAATGTTTAATTAAAAATAATGTAATTCATTTGTATATAACAACAAGGTATTTAAAGTTTTATATAAAAAATTACTTAAAATAATTATTGTAATTAACCAAATTAGATTATAATAAATATAACTAGTATATTCTCATATATATGAATATGTTTTAAAATTTTAAAAAATGATACGTAATTATAAATTATAATTTTATAACAATGTTTACAAAGCAATTCAATTGCATTTTCTAAATATTTACTAAATACATATCCAAATTTCTATTAACATAATAAATTAAATAAATTTAATCTTATTTTACATAATTAAATAATTTAACGATTTACATTTTATTAGTTGTTAGTCAATAGTTAAATAAAATAAAACTAAATGAATAATTTGTATTAATATTAGACAACTGATAACCAGTAATATGCTGTCAATTAAACATCTTGTTAATTTCTCTTTTGCCAAAACGTGATAAAGAACTGATTAATACTTACATTAATACTGATAATAATTATTTAATTATTGAGCCAGGACAATTAGGGGGTTTACAGTTTAACTTAGTTTTAACTAGGAAATAATTAATTGGTTTTATATTTGAGGTGATCAAATTAAGCACATCCTTTGGGAATATTAGAATTAACTTAATGTACTCAGATTAGATATTTATTACAACTTAAAAATAAATTACTTTCCCAAAATCAGACCATATTTTGTTGATATTAATAAGGCATTGACAATTTTTGCAATGTTATTTGTTTGGAATTTTTCTAATTCACTCTCACATTAAAATCATGTTTCAAAGTATTAAATATTAAATATTGTGAATTGCAGTCAATCTTTGGTTAAGCAATTTGTTGGACTTCCTCATCAAATATACTTAATATTTATCATAATATAAAGTATAATCAATTTTATCGATATAAATATATGATTCAATTCATCAGAAGAGAAGTCAATCAAATAAAACAACTTTTTTTGGCAAATATTTTCATTCAATTTTTGGTGTAATAATGGATTTCGAAGATATTTTACAAGAAGTGGGAGATTTTGGGTTTTATCAGAAAAGACTTGTCGTCTTGTTTGTGATAGCAGCCGGGGCTTTATTACCATTTTTCTGTGTGACAACACTTTTTATGGTCTGATTATTCTCCTCATTTCCTAAACAATCATTATTTTGTTAATAAAGTAAAATTGTATTTTCTCAAAATAAATTATTCAATACAATGGTGCTGTAAATAGGTTTCATCGCCTAAACACTGGTGTAAAGTCTGGCAATTGTCTAACTACTCGTTTGAACAACAAATACAATTCATTAGTCCCGCAGAAATTGTAAATGGAGTGCCTAAATATGATTCGTGTAATATGTATGATATCGATTATAACTATTTGGCAAAAGTGGGCAATATTTCCATTTATAAATGGGATCAAAACTTGACAGACTTCCCGGTCAAGCCCTGTCACGATGGCTGGGCTTTCGATAATACCAATTATGAAGAAACTGCTGTCACAGCCGTAAGAATATATTATTTTCATTAAATAAATCACACATAAAATTATAATTTTAAATTATAGTTTATATAAGTTATTTCAAACAAACCCAAACATAATTACATTCATTTTACCAATATATATATATATATAATTTGATGAAAATTAATATTAAAAATAGCTGAACCTATTCTGTGATCGAAGTCATTACGTGAATCTGATTCTATCGGTTGGAAATATTGGCACAATTATAGGAACTCCACTCTTTGGTTGGCTCTCAGATAAGTTAGTTCTCTATTATTACGGCACAGATATAAAAATTACAACCATTTTAATTTATGATTCAAATACTAGAATCGGCAGAAAAAGGACATTTCAAATAACAATATTTGTATTCATAATATCATCATTGAGTCCGACATTACTAAGAGATTTGAACAGTTTCCTCATATTTCGTATAATCAATGGCTTTATATTACCATCATTTTATCAGTTGCCTTATATTATTTGTGAGATCTGTTTATTGTGATTGTATTGATAATAATTTATTTGTTGTCAAATTAAATAATTTATTATATAATAGTAATAGAATCTGTGGGTCCGAGAAACAGGACATGTATGAACTCAATCGCATGCCTAGCGTGGGTTGGGGGCAGTTGCCTACTGCCACTGGTTGCCTATTTAACCAGACATTGGGTTACATTCCATATCGTCACTTCTTCAGCCATTATTGTATTCTTCTTCTATTGGAAGTAATTATATGAATATTTTCATGAAACAAAAGTAATGATATATTGTGTGTGAATAGAATGCTCCCGGAGTCCCCGCGTTGGCTCATTATTAACGAGAAATACACGGAAGCGGAGAAACTATTGCTTGAGATGGCGGAGGCCAACGGCAAACCAAAGCCCACAGATTTGATACAAAAGCTCAAAAGTGTAGGCAAACAGCTAACAGCCAACGACTCCGAGAAAGTCAATAACGCTATAATGGTATTCCTGAGGAAGCCGGGTCTTCGCAAGAACCTAATTCTAGTGACAGTCAATTGGATGTGTTGTGCGGCCGTCTATTTCGGAATTCAACTCAATTTATACAACTTCTCTGGAAATGAATTCTTGAACTTCTTTTTACTGGCAGTCATTGAACTGCCGGCGTATCTGTTTGGGTGGTATCTCATAGAGACGCGAATGGGTCGGCGCTGGTCTTACTCCCTGTTCCTCATACTATGCGGTCTATCCATATGTGTGCCCGCATTTGTTCCCGACTCCTATGCCTTTGTCACGAACATCATGGCAATGGTCGGCAAGTTTTGCACCACTATTTCATTTATGGTGGTCTACCAACAGGCGGCTGAGATATATCCCACGGCTATTAGAAACCAGGGAATGGGTGTGGGCTCTATGGCCTCGTCAGTTGTCGGAATGGTTATGCCTTTCCTCACATTTTCGGTAATCTTATCATATATTTTATGTAGAAATGCCTCAATTCTTCACAAACTTCTAATCATATATTGGTTGTCATATTACAGGTGAAAAGGGTCTGGCTATCTCTGTTTGTTATGGGAGTTATCTCTATAATAATCGGTGGAATTAGCACTTTATTGCCCGAAACACTTAACGTGAATTTACCGCAAACTATAGAAGAGGGCAATATATTCGGCAAAAATCGCAAATATCTCTCATGGGCTAAGTATGAGATGTTTTATTTCAATGTATTTCTGCAATCTTTCTAATTGATATGATTATGCATTTCAGTACCAAAACAGTTACAAAAATTGATAAAAACGCAAACAGCAAGGACTCCATGTTATGAACATTAATGATTTGGTTGATAGCCATAAAGAAAATCCTATTCAAATAATTATATTTTTATAAAATTCCCAAACATTGTTTAATCTAATTGTAGTGCAATAAAATAAATGTATGAGTTTCACACTATGAAATAAGATCTCCCGGTGCTCTTATTGTAAACTTACATGAAAACTTATAAACATTAGACAAACAAATAAAAAGTTGCATAACTTTATGGCACTAAAAATGTAGGCCAAAGACAAATAGTTTCAAACGGTTGAACAAAATAATTAAACACAAATCACAATTAAATTGCAAGTCTTTGGGTCTTTCCCTGGTTTTGAAGTTTCAATTAGCCCTCAAAAATCAAACTTTTCTGACAAACTTTGTACTCTTAATGTATAAAATTAATTAAAAATTTAAAAATTATTGCGCAAAATATAGCAATTTATGTGAAATTAAATAAAGATGAGGTTTAACATCAAATTTAGCGCATTTGACGACAATATATCCAATATCCTAGCAATCAATGAAAATTAAATGAATGAAAAAGTTTGCGTTTATATCGTGTAATAGTTGTTAAACAAGTTTTCTATGTATTCCTATGCGTTAAACGAGTTCCTATTCATATGAGTCATTAACTTATGATTAGAAATAATATACAAGTGTTTATACATTGAGTGAGAGTTGGCATTGAATTTGTCATAAATAAGTGTCAGATCCCAGAGACTGAGCCATTCGTACGCCTATTCACACCACTATTACCACTAATATTGTCATCAGTTGTCTCATTATATCCATTGAACCGAAACAATGTCTTTCGTATTGGTATCGTCCGAAGACATCTTCTACGGGCCGACCTGTATCTCCACTGAGGACTCGGCTCTTCACCAACAGATCTCCGACATCTCGGACTCAACCAAATATCTGACCATTTCTTCGCGCAGGAAGAAGACGGAAGGATCGGTAGGCTATCAGTCATACCATTGACTCAATTCTTGACATTAACTCTCATTTTGATTGAATGCACGCAAAGAGTGGCCACAAGAGCGACAAAAGCGAGAAAATAAAGGCTAAGTTTGAGGCAAAGCTGAAGGAACTGAAGGATAAACCAGAAAAGGCTGAGAAACTGAAGGAGAAGATGGAGAAAATGACGGTAAGGGAGAAGGAGAGGATCGCTGTGATGGACGACAAGAAAGTGAAGTTCGACCCAAACTCGAAGGCACTGGTCATCAAAGTAGAGGACGCGCCCGTCCGGGTGCTCAACAAACTGGCCGCACTCGGCTATCAGATCACCCCCTCGTCCAGTGGCGGCAGTAGTGGCAGCGCCGGTGGTTCGCGAGCCGGTCAGGTGTGGACTCTATTCAGACCCGGGTATGTGCCGCAGATGTATCCCGAACTCAATAATCTTAATATTAAGGACTATTGAGGGCATGTCTGGGATGGCATTCATAGGTCCGACCCATCATTCACTTCAAACTGATTTGAATTCTTATATAAAATAACTTTTTTACAAATAATTAAAACTTAATTTTGAACATAAGTTCCCAATTGTATGGTAAAGTGAAAAGTTATTACAGAATTATTGTGAGCTTTAATTGTATGCCTTAAGTATTATTTATATTTAATTTGATTGATTTAATCGAAATAATTTTTACTATTTATAACCCTTTTTTAAATAATATTATATTTATAATCATTTAATTATAGTTGTATTGAATAATTGAATAAAAGTGCAATTGTGTGACAAATGAATGTCTATTTTCATTGAAAACTTTCAAATTTAACCAAAACTTGAGTGCACTATAGAAATGGTCCCCCGGTTTAGGTGAACGTGACTCGAGTGCTGTCAACACAGATGTGAACACAACTCGAGCCCAAACACCGCACACTCTCTCCGACTCGAGCCCTGGTTTTGACAACTTTTGATTGAGTCAACTATACCCTGACAACATTATCACAACATTGTCACTGACAACTGGTCACCAAGGACAATCAACACATACTCATTCACTCCATTCAGATCATCATAATAGGCATTGAATGAATTTATAAGTAGAAAGTACAGTAAAAGTTGTATAACCAAGCAAAACTTTGGTAAAACTACTATAAACTAGCTAACTAACTACAATTACATTCAAAATACAATGAAATGCATTTGCAAATTGCAATACAAGTGTTTGGCAATAGCCAGGGTGTGTGAGGGTATTGACCTTGGTGACGACCTTGGTGCTAATGCACTGCCACTGTTGTGCACTTTTTAAACGTGAGATTTCCCTCCAAAACCCTAAAACCCAAACACAACGAAAGCATGGATTGAGTGCCGATTAGATAACATCTAAATTGCAATCAATTGAACGCATGGTAAGCATGAATGGTATGACCAGTGCTTACAAAACCTATCAATTGTATGATTCATATGTTTAGCGTATAATCGATGGACTGATTGGTCGAGTCTTCTATTGAATACTTGAGTAAGTGTTGACACACAGACAGACAGACAGACATACAGACAGACGATCACTGAAACTGTAACAGTGTTTGGCTGACAGTGAGCATTGAAGGAGGTGGACAAAACCCCCCGAGAATAGGGGGAGTAATTCAAAAATGGAGTCCAGCCCTACATTTTTCGGCCCAAATGGGGGTTTTGTGCCACACCCCACCCCACCCCACCCTCACCTCCTTCAATGCTCAGCTCAACACTGACTGTAACCCAAACACACAAACAGTGAGTGCTTTTCAAACACATTGTTTTGACACACATTTCATTTGAATGTCATTTGATTTGCAAATCAATTGTGTGTTTCATTTGAATTGTAAACAATGTCTGAATTGAAAGGTATTGTAATATAAGAGAAAGCATTGAATGAATGAAAACTAATCCTTGACTGCAATTTGTATGTGAAGTGAGCGCCAGATCTAAAGTGCTGTCCAACTGGTCGTCGAGTCTTATATACAGCGGATCACCACTTCTGGAGACCAGTGGTCGTCACCACTCGTCCAACAGGTCTGTGAAGCACATGAGGAGCAACAGGTTGTCCGACAGGAGGGAGACACCACTCGCTGCCAACAAATACACTGAGATTAAGACCAAAGAGAATTTGAAATATCACTCAAACAGTACGACAACTAAGGATCAGATTAAGGATCAGATTAAGCCTAAGACGAGGACTCACTCGCCCCACAAGACTCACAGCTCTATATCGTTGAGAACCAGTCGATTGGATGACAAACAAAATGATATGAAGTTAAGAAATGGTGTGAAAAGTGGCGCCAATTCGGGTGATATGTCCGAAGAATCGGATCCAACGCCACCAGTGGTTAAGGCGAGCAAATCGGTGGCCAAAGAGCCGAAGAAAACTGAGATGAGAAATGAGCCGAAAGTGCCGGAAAGCGGTGTCGAGTCCATGGATGCGATGGCAACGGATGACAATCACAGGCTCTGTGTCCGCGAGGGATGCGATCGACGGATAAATGAGTTTTACTTATTTGAAGACAAGTTCTGTTCGTCGGTCTGTGCGGTCACTCAATGGACGCAAGACTTCCGCAACACATGGGGTCAGCAGAAGAGTTAACTTAGTTTTGGTTTTAGATTTTTAAGACACCATTCATTCAATCAATCATTTCATCCCAACACTCATTTTCAATCACTTTTTGATCATTGAATTGATTTTAATTATTTTTTAATGAAATTTTGCAACTTTTCAAATGAGTGCACATTTTGATGCCATTCCCATCACTTCCCAATTGAATTGAGTCTAAGACATGAATTATTGCAATATTACAAACATTTAATGTTTTCAATTTACATTCAATTCGCATAGGAATTGATGCATAAATATAAATATAAGAAAAATTAATTTTTAATGATTTAATTAAATTTAATGATAACATAAAGCGATATAAATGTGTGAATGCAGTGCCGGTAGAAGTGCCGCCAAACCAAACCTAACCTAACCGTAGGGTTGTGTGTGTGTTGTGATGAGTGAACGGTCCCTCGCATTGCATTTCAATGTTTCAGCAAAGGTTTGTAAACATTTCGTTCATTCATTCAAACGATTTGTTTTCGCATTTAATTAATAATTAGACATTCATTCAAACATTCATTGAATGCTATGTTTGACGGCAACTATAGTTCACAGTATTATATGTGATATTCAGTTAGTGTTGAATCAGTTGCTGAGACAGTGTTTGATATGAAAGGTATTTATTGATAGCTATCTGTTAGCCATCGCTTCAATGCTCGCACTCCCGAAGAATGGTTTGTTTGTATGAATGACTCAAACCTTGTCTTATCTTTACTGAAGGGATGGCAGCGATATCCAGCGCACGCTCGAAGGTGTTGTCCAACTGGTCATCAAGTCGTACGGAAACAGAAGTTGTGTCGACGGCAATGATAACAGCGTGTCCTCCAGTTAACGTTAACCATCAATCGGTGGTGAATGAGATGCCAAAGAGTGACTCATCGGAGTCACAAACAGCTTCTCTTGTGGTCACGAGTCAACAAAATGGCAATCAATCGCTGATTAGCGATAAATATGTCAAACGAGACGATCCTTCGGCCAAAAGCGTTGAACCAAAACCTAAAAAGTCTAAAACAGTGCCAAAGAATGCGGTGAAGAAGAAGATTGAGACCAACAATGATATGAAGAATGAGCTGAAGATTGCGATGAATTTGAATGCGAATCCAAAGCCAATTGAGAAGAAGCGGCGAATTTGGCGAAGGAATGGCAACAAACCGGTGGTCGTGAAGGACCTCTCGAACGCGAAAGGTTTCCTCGCCTTCTGTACGCAGAAGTACCCGCCGACCAAAGAAGGCATTCCCTTCATACAGGACCGCTCGTGTCGGGAACTCACCCACGACTTCAACGCCCCGCACATCACTCACTGCATGGATTGCAGCGAAAAGAAGAGTCAGTCCCAGACCTGTCGCTTCTATCAGTACAGAACTCTCGTCCAAACCAACG